TCGGATAAGAGTGTCATATCAAAAAGAGGTCTACCTTTGGATAAAGGTGAAAATTATAAAATTTGAGTTTTGATCATACATCTTGTTATTGCATCTATAAGATGTAAGGATATTGAGTTATCACTTCTGTGTGATGTGAGGACTTGGAATTATTGCTTTTATTGATATGATAACAATGTTGTTATGCAGAGGAGGAAAATGGTTTATAACCAAAAAGGGTTTGATTGTCTGTGTTTTGAGTTAATAGTATTTTTGGGTTAATTCGGGTGTTATACTTCGAATTATTTAAATAATATAAGTTTTGATGAGAAACCAGATGGGCTCTGGTTGGTCTTCAAGACTAACCAGAAGGCCTCTAGTTGTAGTGGAAAATCTCAAGTTTTTCAAAAACTCATATTTTGACCCAGAGGCTCTGTATCATGAAATTTAACAAGTACAAGCTCTGTATCTAAACTTTTTGTTTTTCATACAACTTTATAAGTTAAACCTTTTAACTTGATCTTTCACAACAATAGTAGAAAACTAGAGAGGCTCTGATTAACCTTTAAATTTTACCAGAGGGCCTCTGGTTATGTTAAACTCTCATTTGTCTTCTTACATCTCATTAGTGAAAAATTGTAACATTAGAATAAATAAGTTTGTGGCAAATACAAGGATGAGATGTTTTTGTGTTGGGTGAAATTTTGGAAGAAAAAAATCTTCAAACCCTTTGTAACAACAACAATGATATGATCGTGTGACATGTCGTTTGAGTTCTAAATAGCTTAACAACAAAATTATTACCTATACATCTTAAAAAATATTTGTAACAACACATGGTTATCAATACATGAAAATGAACCACTTATGAAAACATGTTTTTCATTTTAAACTATATGTCATTAATTTATTACTGAAGAATTATGTTTTATATTAACTCGGAAAAGTATTTCCTTAAAATATTTATCGGTACTGAGCAATGCACGGGATTCACACTAGTTATATATAAGCCAATTTGCTTTTTGAAACCTTGAAAAACCATATAACTACAATTGTGAGGGTTGGATATTAAAATGAAGTAAAAAAGTAGGATTAAATGGTTAAATTTTTGGCTTTACGCATTATGCGTGTGCCAACTAATATGTGTGTATATATAGGGGTGAATTCAAATGAAAACTCATTTTTCATTGTCAACATGAGGACAGATCTTGGTCATTGATCAAAATTTAGAAACTAATCAATGGTTAAAACATAAAAAAATTATTAAAAAGTGAATAATGGCAAAAATGGAAGTTAAGATTTACGCCTACCATGACCTTTTATTTTATTTTTTAATCAATTTTCTTTTACCTCTTTAATTTTTAAACTAAATTATCTTAAAAATAATTAATATTTTAACCAAAAAAATTATATCAAATAATCGAGCATTTCATTTTCTTCGATTTGACATCCATCTAGATATAGTTTTTTTTCTTTCTATGTTTTTTTACGTCAAATAATATATCTGTGTAATATTCATTATGGATATTAATGCATGTTCGTTTGTTTGCAACAGTTCTTTAATATTTATATATCAAATATATATTCATTATGATTATACAACTTACTATAACAATCATCATGAATAGTTATATATTTTCAAGTGTATTCAACATTCATAATGAATATATATATATATATATATATATATAATATTTGTCATAAACATACATTTTCACCATAATCTTCATCATGAATATACGTATTATTCATCATTAATATACATATTATTTATTATGAATATACTACCACACACATATATATATATATATATATATATGTTCACGTATATATAATAACTATTTAGTATTCATACATCAATGTGATATGTACTATTCATCGTGAATATACATACCATTCATTATGAATATTTATATATGTTCACGTGTATATAACAAATTTCAGCATTCATACATCAATATAACATTCATCTTGAAGATTCATGTATGATCAAGTGTATACAATAACCCTCTAGTATTTATATGAGTATGATATTTATAATAAATATTAATTTTCACAATCATATTCATCATGAATATACTACAGTTTCAACTTTACATATTTTAGTTTTTCTTTCTTTTTTCTTATTGGGTTCTCGATTGATCTGGAAGAGTTTTCGATTCGTCTTGATAGATTTCCCAATCCATCTCGATAAAAGTTAAAAGTGATAAATTATGGTTTTACATAAACAAACACACATCTAGTCGATAGATGAGTTCTTGATTAGTCTTGATTGATGTCTTTTGATCCCAATGGGTTGTCGATCCACCTTGATATGTTCTTGATTGATCTCGATGGGTTCTCGATCCTTCTCGATAAAAGATGAAAGTGATAGTCTATGGTTTTACATACAAACAAATAATAAATCAATTGATAGCTTATCGATGAAAAATAAAGGTGGTAGGTTATGATTTAACACATATAAACACATACCAAGTCAATGATTGGATTCTTGACCATTCTTGATTGGTTCTCGATCGGTCCTTGCTCAGTTTTAATGATTCTCGATTGGTCTGGATAGGTCCTCGCTTGGTTTTGATGGATTCTCGATCGATCTCGATGGGTGTTGGGTTATGATGATAAAGAATGTGGTTCCTTACAACGTTGAAGAAAGTGCTGAAGAAGGTAATGTCGAATTACGAACTTACGTTGTCGAACTATTATACTCGATGACTTGAACGTACATAATCAACATAATACATATATATAATTTCACGTAAAAAACGGTTAAAATGAAGGAAAAAAAACTATATCGAGATAGATAATATCGAAAAACATGAAATTCTCATTTTTTGATGTAACTTGTTTGATTAAAATATTAATTTTTTTAAAAAAATAATCTACTTTAAACTTTTAAGAAGGTAAAATTCTTTAAATATATTATAAATAATAAATTTTATGTTTTCTAAAAAGTTGAATATATTATTATTTTAAATTTATAAATTCATTATCGTAATATGTTTAAAAAAACTTTATTATCTATATTATATTATAAAATATTTGACAAAAACTCTTAAAAATCACTTTTATGCATAAAATACTGTTTATTAATGCATTTTACTTAAAACTCAAGATTACAAGTAGATTGTGTGTATGTACAACTTATTAAAGCTCCATATCTGAATTCGTGTAACTAACTACATATAAACATAATCAAATTCAGGATAAACATCTCATTTTAAATATAAAAAATCTAAACTATAATTAGGACAATAATTGAGTTATAACAGAATATTTAATTATTATCTTTATAAAATATTATATTATTAAACCAAAAATAAATTATTTTATGATTAAACTTAAATTAAATTATAATAAAAAAATAAATTAAAGAAATTATATAAAAAATGAGAACTTACAAATAGTTGATTTGATATATTTTTTTTTCAAATTTTTATGATATCTTCAAATTTATATTTTATTCAAAAATAAAATCATTATTGCTTTTTAAAAACACATAAAATCGTATTATAACATCGACATAGACAAATAATAAAATAAAACATTAAAATCGAGATGTATCTCACTGCATTACACGAATACCATTCTAGTAAATAATAACATATTCAACTTCAATAATAAAAATCATTAAAATAATATTTTTTTCGTTTCAAAAAATTCTTTAATTTTAGGAATTTATAGTCTCACTTTTCTTTTCATTGTTTCGAGTGTTCTAATTCCAACAAATCTATATTACTATATTTTTAAAAGGGTATTGATGTGATGTAATTAGATACATCTTTATTTTTAATGTTTTGTTTTATTTTTTTTGTTTCTATTGATATAATATGGTTTATGTGGTTTTGATAAAAATAATATTTTTACTTTTGAATAAAAATAAATTTGAAGATATCATAAAAATCTGAAAAAATGTATCGATATTAATATCAAATTAACTATTTAAAAGTTCTCCTTTTTTTATAATTTCTTTAATTCAATTTTTTTATTATAATTTAATTTAGGTCTAATAGTAAACTAATATATTTTTGGCTTAACAATATAACTTTTATAAAAATAACGTTTTTATTAGAACTTAATGATTATCCTGATTATATTTTAGATTTTTGATATCTAAAATGAGATGTTTATCCTGTATTTGATTATGTTTATCTGCAGTTAGTTATACGAATTCAAAAATAAAGATTAATAAGTTGTACTTGCAATTTTTTACCTGTAATCTTAAATTCTAAGTAACATGCATTAATGCACAGTAGTTCATCCATAAACAATGATTTTTAAGAGTTTTTTTTGTGTGAAATGCTTTATAATATAGTATAGATAAAACATTTGACAAAAAAATCTTAAAAACCATTTTTATGTATGAAATACTGCTTATTGATGTAAATTACTTAAAATTTAAGATTACAAGTAACTTTATGTAAGTACAACTTATTAAAGCTCCATATCTGAATTCGTGTAACTAACTGCAGATAAACATAATTAAATACAGGATAAGCATCCATCTTAATTTTTAAATATAGAAAATCTAAAATATAATTAATATAATTATTAAATTTTAACAAATATTTAATTATTATTTTTATAAAAAAATATATTATTAAATTAAAAAAATTACTTTATCAGAATCTAAATAAAATTATAATAAAAAATTAAATTAAATAAGTTATATTATAAAACGAGAACAATTAAATAGCTAATTCGATATTAATGTTGATCTATTTATTTTTTAAAATTTTATGTTATATTTAAATTTATATTTCATTTAAAAATTAAAATATTTTTTTTTCAAAACTATATAAAATTATATTATATCGATAAAAATAAAAAATAAAAATTAAACCCTAAAATCGAAATTTATATCGATTCAATCGGTACAAAAAATCATGCTAGAATAAATCAAGTTGAAAGGAGGAAGAATGGTGCAATTTGGGGCGGTTATGGTTCCTACACGTCACCACAAATCAATCAATAATCTTTATCTTCCACCCATCTTATACCTTCAACAATCGCCATAGCCAACCATTGTCGTTACACTTTCAAATGGAACTGCTAAAATCTCTATTTCCATTTCCAGTTTTCACTCCAAACCCTAATAATTTCACCATGATCAGGCCCTCCAGACATTGTTTTCAGACGAGGGTTTCGATTAAACCTCCACCGCCAGAATTCGACTTCAAGTCTGAAATCCTAATCGGATCTCGAGTCATAATTGCCGAGATGCATCCGGAATTGCTCGACTTAGCCGACGAAGGAAACTTAGTTGTCATCAGAAAGAATCAATTTGGTCCTGTCCCGGCATGGCGATCTGAGTTCGTGGAGCCTGAGACTATCTGGTTATTCGGTACAAATCACGTGTCTCAAAAATCCGCCATTGACGTCGAACGAGTTGTGCAGGCCGTGAAACCCGATAATGTCGTCGTCGAGCTCTGTAGGAGCAGGTAATTGTTCATTTATGCACTTTTCTTCAACTTCATTTTGCATCGAATATAATCTCTAGTTTATGGCTTCAAATCTGCTAGATTTTGAACCAAAAAGGGTCTTAAATTGATGTGAATTACGGTATGATTTGATTCGGGTAGCTTAAGCCCCTCCCTCAATTCTTTGCAGTTGAATGAAATCAGTCAATATGTTAGTCGATCTAGATTTAACCACCATTTAGTGATTTAGGATGTGCTTCCATCCATGGCTTAACTTGACTTGTTGCAGAGAGCATTTTCAGAGCAGGAATCATGTACACATCAACTGATACCGAGGTCGAACCACGGCTAAAGCCCAACCCTTTTTCGTTATCTGGTTCTGGGTTCATTGGTGCCGTTGGTCGCAGCATCAATCTAGGTAACCATCCAGCCATTTCCCAGAATCCCAGTTTCCATTTCATCTGCAGGCTCGGTTTCTTGGCTAAAAACCAAAATTAACAAGTTTTGTTCGAATAGGTGGTCAAACGGCTCTAGCATTACGTCTATTGTTGGCAACATTCTCTTCCAAGATTTCTTCGAACATCAATCGCCCTTTTGGCGACGAGGTACGCAGTTTCAAGCCTAGAGACAACATCAGTAGGTTTGCATACTTTTCATAAACAACTATTCTACTCTTTTGAATAGATATCAGGTCTGCATACATTTTAGTTAGGATATATCAGACTCGTTTGATTTTGACAACATTAGTAAGTGGGAATCTACACGTTTTACACCGTGCCAATTAACAAATTTCGTGTTAGTTTCGTGCTGCAAGAAAAGCTTCGGAGGAAATAAGTGCTCAGGTGGTACTAGGAGATCGGCCTATCGAAATAACGGTTTGCAGCTCGATCCATTTTTCTCATATTACCTATTAATCGTTCAATTTTCCCTTGATTTGCGTTATGTGATCCTTATTTCAGCTCCAAAGGGCGTGGAGCTCGCTAAAATGGAGCGAAAAACTAAGCCTCGTTGTCGCAATTCTCCGAGGAATAACATCATCCTCGGACCAATCCAAGATAAACTTTAAGGTTGTGTATTTATCTACCCATCAGTTTCATAATCACACACATAATCGTAAAAACTAAGCTGATATTTCAATATCGTGTTTCAGGAATCAACCACAAACGACAGCGATTTTCAACTTTACGAGCAGTTGAGTTTCTCGTATCCGTCATTGCTACAACCTCTGATCCATGAACGTGATACCGTAAGTTTCTTCTTCATTTTGAGGTCCATATCAATGATAGAAATCCAAGGCCTTAACAGTTGGTTCTGTTTGTTCAGTACATTGCTTGGTCTCTGAAGCGAAGCAAAGCTGTAAGAAACGGTAAGAGAGTGGTTGGGGTTATCGGAAGAGGACATTTGAACGGTGTGATCTATGCACTGATTTCCGATCTTGGAGACTTGCGGTTTCGTGATCTTGTTGGGGAGAGATCTTCAACGGATGGATCTTGGTTGAATACCATCGTAAAAAACTTGGTGAGAGACACGATAATTGGTGTCGTGATATGGGCTTTGTACGAACAGATAAAGAATTGATGCATACCAAACGCTACAACGAAAGGATCACAAGGATTAACACCAACGTTTTCGACTTCGTCTCATGCAAGTTAAAATCGCCTCTCGGTGTTATTCCTTGTACGTATGTCATTTCAGTATTTTGCTTTGTTTGGTTGAAATGTATGTAATAGTAAACTTCGACTTTGTGGACGTAGCTGTCAGAATATCGTGTAAAAAGCAAAAATAATACTATGCTGTTAAAGAATTTTGCTCTCTATCATTATTTTGTGATAATTAAAGTTTCCATGAATTAAATTAAATTAAATTAAAATAAAAAAGTCAACACATGAATTATTAGTGTAACGGTATGTGGGTTATTTGTAGAGCTTAACATTCGAAATATATGTGTCTCAGATAAAATTAGAAGAGTATTCGCACAATGCAGCGAGACACATCTCAATTTTAATGTTCTATTTTATTATTTGTCTTTGTCGATGTTATAATACGATTTTATTTATTTTTAAGAAAACAATAATGATTTTATTTTTGAATAAAATATAAATTTGAAAAAAAATATATCAATGTTAATATCAAATCAACTATTTAAAAACTCTCTTTTTTATGTAATTTTTTTTATTATAATTTAATTTAAGTTTAATAACGAAATAATTTATTATTGGTTTAATAATATAACATTTTATAAAGATACTAATTAAGTATTCTGTTATAACTCAATGATTATTCTAATTNACGAAATAATTTATTATTGGTTTAATAATATAACATTTTATAAAGATACTAATTAAGTATTCTGTTATAACTCAATGATTATTCTAATTATATTTTAGATTTTTTATATTTAAAATAATATGTTTATCCTGTATTTGATTATGTTTATCTGCAGTTAATTACACGAGTTCAGATATAGAGCTTTAATAAGTTGTACTTACGTACAATTTACTTGCAATCTTTAGTTTTAAGTAATATGCATTAATAAACTGTACTTTATGCATAAAAAATGATTTTTAAGAATTTTTATCAAATACTTTATAATATAGTATAGATATTATGTAATTAAAAAATTGATGAATTAAAAGTATTTAAGTGGGAGGTTGTTTTGTTGCCAAAAAAGATAAATAAGTAAAAGAGTAGCAAAGGGGAAAAACTATAAACTAACACAGTCAAGGGTCTTTTATGTAAAGTTTTTATTTTGACTAATCATATTTGCGCATGTGAATTAAGCCAGGGGGCTCTGTGTAAATTCTCTACTATATATAGAAACTACAGCTACCTTGCCGTCAGTGTCCCTAAAGATATTTTATCCTCATCGGCCTCTCTTCACTGCAAATTAGGGTTTTGCTGTTTCGACTTTTGAAGGTAAATACCTCGTATATAAAATTAGTCTTCAATTGATCTTAATGTTTGAATTATAATTTTGTTATCTTAACGTGTTTGCTTTTTAGCATGTTGATTATACATCTGAATGATTGTATATCGTAGGATCTGATGCTGTTTTGAACATCAATCTTTTGCTTTTAAATCTGTTTTTAGTGATGTGTTCCCATCCGGAGTATCTATTCCATGAACGTATAGATCTAGAAATTTGTTAGCATGATTTTTCTTTTTAAGTTTTCCGTTGACCTGCGTATTGCTGTGAATTTCTTTGATTGGGCGTTTTAATTATAAGGTAAGGCGCTACTTGTTATGGGAGATTTCAAAGACTTGTTATTTGGTTTGTCTTTTAGGCACATTTTTTCATATTAGGTTTTGTCGATGTTGTTTGGTGGGATGAGTCATGCGGTTATTAATTTTTATTTGATGAAAAAAGATTATTAGATGGTTGGTAGGTCGGTCTTCAAGGCATATCTATCTTGCAGGGGTTTTGAAATTTATCATTGTTCGAGTGATTTTTGTTCTGCCAACAAGTGCAATTGATTTAGGATTTTTTGATTTAAATCAAATGCTCGTAGGGCATGTCTGATGAAAAGAACCTTGATGTTTAGGATACCACATATGGGATAATCTGATAACGATGTATATTTCAGATCAATGGAGACACTCGAGTAGAATTAGAAGGGCAACACATTCCTGATATATTCACTGATTCCATTTGCAATAGGAAATTATCTATTCTCTAGCTGATGGTAGGATTTTGGTATAATTTTTCTGTAAGGAGGCACATCAATTCTACTTTGTTGTTATATGTGATTGAGCATCCGTGTCATTGTGCTAATCCATTCTTACTAATATCTGATGTTGCTCTATCTTTTATTTTTATATAACTGGACTAGTTCTATTTTAATCTGTTTATTTTGAGTCATTTTGTGTTTTTATCGAATTATCTTAGTAGTTCTATTTAATATTGGTTACATATATGCTTAACAAAGTGTCTTTCTTTTTCTGAAGATAAAATGAGGCCCATCTTCTGTGGAAACTTTGAGTTTGATGCACGACAGGGTGAACTGGAGAGACTATTTAGAAAATATGGAAAAGTTGATAGAGTGGATATGAAGTCTGGTAATTTTTGCTTGTTACATTTTCACCCTCTTATCTTGTTTTTATGTCACTCAAGTTATTGCATTATTTGTTACCATGTGCTATATCTATAAGCATTTGAAGGAAGTTTGCAAGAGTTTTGCTCTCTAATCAAATATTATATTAAATATTTGGGAAGTTTTTGGAAGATTATAAACAAGATTTTTCAAAATTCATAAACTTGTAGTTGTCAGTATATGCATCATATCGACGGTAATGGGGTTCTACCTGTAAGTGGAAGATTCTACTTCCCCCTTCAGCATGGAGCATGTTTGGTTTTGTTTTACCACATGCAGACGACGATTCAAAAGGTAGTCATGTCAACCTGGTTGTAGCCTGACTCGGTTTTGGAGCACTATGGGGTTAATTTATGAAGCTTCGTGAGATTATAATTCTGCTTTATCAGATGCATGTTTCAGTTATATATATTTTTTTATTACATATGGTTCTTGTGAACAATCTAACATCAATCATCAACATATTCCAATACAATTTGTTGATAAGTAAGAATAGCAAATGCGATCCATACCATCACACAACGGACCACAAGATTTGCAAAGTGAAAGGTTCCCTATGTTCCAGAGACTTCTACGTTCCACGTTGTAAAGGTGGTGGCCTGGATAAGGTAGGGCCTCAACGACTTCCGAATCATGTCACTCAACCAGCTGCAGTGCCTTCATTGTTGCGTTGTTATGGGGTGTCCGGATGTGTTTAAGAAAAGAAGAGTATGATTATTGAAAGTCTAAAACCCCCATACTCAAATAATTCTTTGGCGCAGGATTACCTTGGATTTCTCCAACTATCCCTGGCTGATGGATCATCATCCGCATTCCATTTCCAGGCCATGACGGGCTTCCTCTTCTCCTTTCTGAGAAGAGCCATTCCGATCCACTTTGGCATCACCATCACACATTCACCACAGACATTGTTGCCTTTCATTCCACGTGGCTTTTGCCCAGTCCTCATTTTCAGACATGTTACCAGAGGCAACAGAATAGATGAAGGCACCTTTTTTACTTATTCTGCCATGAGACATCCATCCAATCCATCCTTGGATTCTAGTTCCATGACATCTCTTAGTTCATTGCGCAAGGTCTGTTGCTGATTTACTGGTCTATCGTTTCTAGCTTTAACAGATTGGTCTTTTATAAAAGGGTAAAACTGTAAACAGTGTATGCAAATGTCTGGTGAAAAATTCGCCAACTCGGAGGATCGTATCCTTTTGTGTTGGGTTATAGACTAGTTTTAATGCTTACATAAAGTTGCATCTGGTTAATTGACTTTATCCTTTGGTTATTTACAGGGTTTGCTTTTGTTTATATGGAAGATGAAAGGGATGCTGAAGATGCCATTCGTGCACTTGACCGCTATGAATTTGGTAGGAAGGGACGCCGACTTCGTGTTGAGTGGACAAAGGTAACATGCATTGCAAGTCTATCTTGCTGCCATGTATATATATAATAGAAATGTTCTTCTAATCAATATTATCCTGTGATAGAACCTTGGTAGAAGATTCTTTTTATGTTGCTAACTTATTTTGTTGTTGGGTTCTGGCAGCAAGAACGCAATGTTAGACAACCTGCAAGTTCTAGGAGATCTTCATCTAATTCGCGGCCATCAAAAACCCTGTTTGTAATCAATTTTGATCCGTATAATACTAGGACAAGGGATTTGGAGAGGCATTTTGATCCTTATGGTAAGATTTTGAATATAAGGATCAGAAGGAATTTTGCGTTCATCCAATTTGAGTTGCAGGAGGATGCCACCAAAGCTCTTGATGCTACAAATATGAGGTACTCAACTTTCCTACTGTCTTGGTTTGTAACTTGTAGATGAGCACTTAAACTAAAACATTGTTTTTTTCATTTGCAGCAAGCTGATGGATCGGGTCATTTCGGTTGAATATGCGATTAAAGATGATGATGATAGAAGGAATGGGAATAGCCCTAATGGAGGTCGTGATAGGTCACCTCGTAGGAGAAGTGATGACAGGGGAAGGTCACCAAGTCCGTATAGGAGAGAGAGGGGAAGTCCGGATTATGGGCGAGGACGAGATAGGGCAAGTCCTGATTATGGTCGTGGACGAGGCCGCAGCCCCAGTCCGGCACACCGGAGGGAGCGTGGCAGCCCTGATTATGGTCGTGGTGCTAGCCCTAATGTGAATGGGAAGGAGAGAAACACAGAGTACCGTCGTGATGCTAGTGGAAGTCCAAATGGAAGGGTGAGGAATGCGGATTATCGGCGTGATGCGAGCCCGAGTCCTCGTAGGGAGAGGGAAAGGAGTGGTCGTGTGTCGATCCCAAGGGAGAGGGAGAGGGAGAGGGAGAGGGAGAGAGAGAGAGTGAGTCCTGAATATGAACATGGTGCAATCGTGAGTCCTCGGAGTGAAGGTCGAATAAGCCCAGATGAGTCTCCTCGTGAAGCAAGCCCGGATGCAAAGGCAGATCTGCGAGAGAGTCCTGGGTATAGTGGAGCTGAAAGCCCTCCTGAAAGGTATCGAAGGTATGTGGTGTGTATTCATTCTGAATGATACTTGGTTTTTTTTTTTATGTTTTTTTTGAGGCTATGTATGCTTACGATGTGTGCGTGTTTCTCTTGCTATGTATGCAGTAGGTCACCGGCAGCGGCAAGAGAGAGATCTCGTTCTTGAAAATGTAAGAATGGATGGTAGGAGGAGGGGTTAAGTTTGAATTTGAAAAACAAAGAAGAATGTAATGGATTTTTTTGTATTTGTTTCTGTTATGTTACTTGACTCCTGAACCTGAACCTGAACCTGGTGAGAGTGAGTCATAATCTTAGATTTATCCTTCTTTCTATTTCAATCTGTGTTGGTTTCAAGATGAACATCTTGCAAGTGGCCAAACCCGTCGTTAATTTGTCAGTCTCTGCCTTCTGGAGCTGTAACCGGTTATTGGCTGGTTCCAGTTTTAGTCGTCTCTAATTGAAGATGGAAAAAAGAAATTTAGAATAGGAATTCTGTAACCGTTAAGCATGAAAAAAGTTAAGTTATGAAATTGAATATGATTAATTTATAAGAATGAAGATTTTGAATTCCTTGAAAATGCTTTTAAAATTGTAATTTGTAGCTTAAAATATGACGCCAACTTAACTGAACTGGTACCATTCCAAGAGTGAAATTAGTATGATTATTTTTATTAATTAATAATAACAATCATCGATATCTACATTACATTCTATTTGGAAAAATGGATCTATACCAACATGAAATGAGAAGACAATTGGTTGCAATTCTATTCCATTTGATGCTATCCAATGTCCAAACACAAGTGTTGATTCCAATTTTTATTTGAAACTTCATTCAAATTAGCCTGAGAGTTGAAACGAATTAGTTTCGTTTATATTGGATTTGAAATTGAATCTATTATAATCTAATATTTGATTTGAATGATTTCTTATATTTGAAATTTCGTTAGCATAGGATTTTGAAATCTTACGTTGATATTTTATGGGATTTCTATGTAATAATGTTTTAAAATATGTGAAAAAACTTTTGTTTTGTAATAATCAGAGTAATTCAATTATTTTTAGAGTGAATTACAAGTTTCGTCCTTGTGGTTTATGTGTTTTAACACTCTGGGTTTATGTGATTTAACAACAAATTTTCACTTTTAGTTCAATATTTTATATTAAAACAAAGAATTACAGTTAGTCTCACATGATCCCAACTCTCTCTCTCTCTCTCTATAGGGTTGAGTTTTCAGGTGAGAATGAGAGTAACATAAGAAGTGTAAGAAACGATCTTCATCGTTGGATGCACATTAGGATGAGATGCACCTGATCAATCTCTGTATCAAACGCCATTTATGGGTGAGTTTGAGATTAACGGTGATCTAGAGTCAAGATCTCTTCCTACTTTCTCACTTTAACTCTCATTCTCACACGATCCTTCCCGTATATATATATATATATATATATATATATATATATATATATATATATATGTTATTAATTATTAAGGATATATTAATATACAATACTCAAAGAGTAAATTACACGTTTGATCCTTGTGGTTTTTATTACATAGTTGGTCCCTACGACTAAAACAACCAAAATGCCCTTTAAATTAATCTACTTAACCAAAAAAAAAAACTAACGAAGTATCCAATGTGTTATAAAATGCAAATCACAGGGATGTAATACATACATATTTCAATATAAGTATCCAAAATATTAAAACACATCGACTAAATTTATAATTCACTTTTATTTTTATAATTATTTATATTTTGTTTTTATAAATTATTTATAAATAATAGAATTCAATTGGATTTAAAAATTTACAAACCAAACACGTTAAAGATTAAATCCTTTTAAATCAAAATCATTTCAATCCCAAATCATTCTACCAAATCAAAATCTCTAAAAACATTTCATCAAACTTAGGATCGTTTATCAAACGCTTATCCGAGTAAAGTGCTTACCAAGTCATATTAACTTACCAGATGAATATGGTAAAGACCAAGAACCTTAGCCGGTAAGACTAAGACAAGTACCAAGAGTCTTGCCCGGTAAGTGAAGATGACAACTCTTACTATGGTAAACGCTTATTGGGTAAATTGCGGCATACAATGCCGTTTTGGTGGACTAAGATCTTACTTGATAAATAAATGATAAGTGTTACATTTTACCAGTAAGCATTTACCGACTAAGTGTTTGATAAACCCCCTAAATGTAACATTTATTTATGCAAGTCACATGGTAACATTTAGTGACGAACTAAAAAGCTGTTTAATGGAGATCCAATGAATTAGGACAAATTCTATTCATACTCTCTTTTATAAGAACCTATCAAACTTTGATACATCCTCTATATTTTTCATTTTTAACCCTTTTTCATAATTTTCATTTTATCCTTTATATTTTTTTGATTTATTATTTTTAACCCTTTTGATATATTTTTATTATTCCTTTTACATTTTCTATTTTCTAATTTATACCTTAATCATATTAATTAATTAATAACGTATCCACTAAAATACATATTTTAGTATTATAAATATAATTACATTTTAAAGGTTAAAAAACATATTAAAAATAACCTTTATGACTTTTATTTTTTTATTATTGTATAATTTTGATACTTTTTTTTTTGTAATTGTACATGATCTTATATTTATATTTACTGATTATCATTCTCATTTTTTATTATTTTTAGAGTACCATTTTCTTCATTGTTTGCTAATTTCTCGTTCTCCAGTTGGTATTTTTTTGTGTGGTATAGATACTTTATAAATGTGTAAAACTAATCAATTTATAATTATATAAATATGTGTGCATATATATATATATATATATATATAGGGGCTTATAAATGAACAGGAACAGAGGCTTGTTCATGTCCGTTCATTTAACTCAACTAAACAAACGAACAAATACGAAATGTGAACGAACGAAATATTTTGTCTCCATGTTAGTTCGTTAAGAAAATATGCTTGTTCGTGTTTATTTATGTTCGTTCATTAATTAAGATGCTTAATGAACATAAACGAACKAACGAACACAAATAAAAAACTACCACTATTCATCATCATTTTGTTCCTAAAAAATAACGCATCAATGTGAAAACCGGATAACTTAAAAGGGATAAAAACAATGCTAAAAATTTAAATTAATTAATGATTTACATATTAGAACAACTCTAGTTCGAGTCTAGGCATCTTAAATCAATACCTAAATCTCTCAAACTTATGCTCTGATACCAACTTGTAATACCCTAAAATCTGGATAGAGCGACTGATTTAAAAATTCCATTAATACAACAAATAAAGGGGTAAATCCCTTTCTTTTACTCAATACTTAAATTACCTCAAATATTAAATCTAAAATCAACATCAATAAGTGATAGAACGAGCCTTAGATAAAGACTAAGTTAATATTGGGTGTTACTATAATCCAATAACTATCGATATCTCCAATTGCGAAAGACAACAACAAATAGCTAAGTCGTTTTCGTGAATATATCTAGCACTCATATAATCACGGTGTCGTTAGTACCATTTCCCAAGAACCTGATACACATGCCAACAAAGAAAAGTTTAGGCTTCACGCCAAGTGAGCTCAAACAGTTTTCATCATAATCATAAAATGGTAAGACCGAAAGACTGTTGATTTAAGTCGTAATTTTTTTAAATGAAATGTATTTATCATAACAGCAACATCTTTATGAAACCCACCATTTCCTGACGAAAACCCAATAATCAGAACACCCATTTAAATGAAACAAAAATCCAATACTCATACAATCAAGAATAAATCCATAAATCGTTGAAATGGAAAACATAGCTCTAATCAAGTCATTTTATATAATTAGATCATATTTACCCTTGGAAAGGTGTAAGACATCATAAGATGGCGGAGGAGAACCAATTTGCCATTGGTTGTGACAGAAAACATAAGTAAACCATAGTTCAATGTTATGTAAGCATCACTTATGGATAAACAAACATTGACATCAACCTTATCTGGGTCTTTAGTCAAATGAGTTAACAAGTTCAACTTTATCCAAGTCTTTTTCCTTGGGGAGTTACCAAGTTCAACTCTATCCAAGTCTTTACCTTGGGATCTGCCAAATCCAAGTTAAGCTCATTCACTAGAAATGACAGTCACTACGGACTACACGGTCATCAAGTTCAACTCTATCCAAGTATTTACCCTGACACCCCCACTATGGATCACACGATCATCGAGTTCAACTCTATCCAAGTCTTTACCTCGATTCCTCCACTGATCAAAGTCTTAGCTACGATACATGGAATACTATCCCATTCCAACTGACTCCTATGCCTATGGATCAATTCCATTATAGTCTAAATTACATGACATCAACTGAATGAATAACGCACTCAAAACATGTAATTATCAATAAATATGCCATAACCGCATATAAAATCCAAAATCTCAACATAAAGCAAAACAAACCGGACAAATGTCCCTGAGATGCATCCAAGTCAAACCTAGCCAAAGGCTCACCAATATGATTGACTATTCAATAAAAGTCATCAAAAATAATAAAAACATATTTAACTAACATTTATGCAAATACATGCTTCAAAGACATGATTAACTCAAAAACACATCATTAGTTGAGACAAATAATTTTCCAATTCAATCATACCATTTATATTCCCAAAATGTCCCGTACTAACACAACAATATGCATTTTCCAAACAATTTATAAAACTAAATACACCAAAGTGCATTTATATCAGGTATAATATCTGATTTTTTGTCCCCCAAATTATAGGGTTGTGATGGTAAATTGTGTTTAAGGGTTCTGAGAGTAGAAATGTTTGAATTACTACAATTTTATATAAAATACTACAAGATTTATATATATACTAGTCAAAATCCCCCCATGCCTTGAAAAACACCCCTAAAGTGTCAAATCGGTGTGTCATAGGTTGTCTTCACTAGAGGACAAATATAGGGTCAAAATCTCCCCTAGGGGCGATCTGGAGATAAGTGGGGCCGACTTGCATATATCAGGTATAATATCTGATTTTTGTTCCCCAAATTAGATATATGTGGGACTCCTCCATACCATTATGGTTAAAATCTGTCCCATAAAGTCAAATCGCCCGTGAGTAGTTATTTTCCTTAAATTGTCTTAAGACTGGTTATTTGTTAATGTAAAGTGTGTAAAGTGGTATTTTAGTTAATTTTCCATGAATAAATCCAAACATATTCAATATTGGATTCATTTTTAATGTACCAACAAAACAATTATAATAATGTAATTTGTTAAAAAGAAATGTATTTTAGTTTACACACGATTATGTATGTTAGTATAAAAATGATGTAAAATGAAAAATGAAAAAAA